ATGGCCTGTCTACCAGGTACGATGCCCTGGAAAGGTGCTCGGATGGGACGGAGGTTCATTCGATCGACACCCATCTCGTCGAGCGTTTTGGCGTACATGATGTTGAGGCCGCTGCCTCCGTCCATCAGTACCTTTGTGAGCCGTTTTGGGCCGACGATCGGGTCGACGACAAGCGGGTACCTTCCTGGGTGTGGGACGGCGCCCGGGTGGTCGGCCCGGTCGAAGGTTATGGCGGATTCTGACCATCGGAGGAAGGCAGGCGTGGCCGGTTCGGCCGTATAGACCTCGCGGCGTGCGACCTTTTGTCGGCATTTGGAGTCGTAGGACGCTGATCCTCCGAAGATCATGGGGGCACCATTTGGAGTCGGGAAGGTGTCATCCTTCTCCTCGACATCGTCTGTCCTGGGGGCAGGTTCCTTTCGCTGCTCCCCTTTGTTGAGGTCCCCGGACAAGTATTTGCGCATGAGGCCACATTCCTTGTATAGATGTTTGGCCGGGAAAGCGTGGTTCGGGCATGGCCCCTCGAGCATTTTTTCAAAGTGGTTCGGAGTGCCTTCCACGGGCTTCCGTCCACCTTTACGGTCGGTGGCGGCCATGAGTGAGTTGTCGCGCCGTTGCTTCTTATTCTTTCTCTTGGCGGGACGGTCGGAGGCGCCTTCGTCGGCGGCCTCGTCCCGCCTTGCCTTGCCATCGATGTGGTCGAAGACGGCTCTGACCGCCTCCTCTCCTGAGGCGTGGCTGGTGGCGATGTCCAGGAGTTCCTTGGTGGTCCACGGGCCCCTGCGTCCCAGCTTGTGGACCAGGGATTCGCAGGTTGTCCCGGATAGGAAGGCTCCTATCACGTCGGCGTCGGCAACGTTAGGGAGCTCGTTGCACTGCTGGGAGAAGCACCGGATGTACCCGCGAGAGGTTTCATCGGCCTTCTGGTGGCAGTTCTTGAGGTCCCATGGGTTTCCAGGGTGTTTGTATGTGCCCTGGAAGTTACCCACAAAGATCTCCATGAGATCCGCCCAACTTTGAATGGCGTTGGATGGTAGGTGCTCCAACCACGCTCGTGCCGAATCGCCCAAGAATAGCGGGAGATCGTGAATAATGAAATTGTCATCACTCGCACCACCGGCTTGGTAGGCAAGCCTATAGTCTTCGAGCCAAAGCCCGGGGTTCGATTCTCCAGAATATTTTAGGATATTGGTGGGCGGTCGGTACCTCGGGGGGAACGCAGCGTTGAGGATGTGTCGGCCGAAGGCCCGAGGGCCTGGCAGGCTGGGACTCGGGCTCCGGTCCTCGCCGCTGTCGTAGCGTCCACCGCGTCGAGGATGATAGCCGCGACGGGCTTCTTCTCTTTCGCTGCCGTGGGTGCGCCTGCGGGCGTCGATGGTGCTGCGCATGTCCCGGCTATGGCCGAGACGTTGATGTACCGGGATAGTGGAGCGCTGCCTGTTGCCTGGCGGCGTTTGGTGAACGGACGCGTCCTTGGCAGGACGTACCGAGGGCATGCGCTGGCTGGTGTTGGGCTCACGTCGTCGAGACAACGAGCTTTCCGCCTGCTGTGCCTCCGCACGCTCGAACAACGTGCGAATTTCTCAACGGGCGCGGCGATCCTCGGACGTCGCGGCCTCCGGAAGGCCGTGCAGCAAGGCCGTCGCTGCGGCGATGTTCTGGCTTGCCCGAGCGAAGTGAGGGAGAGTCCCATCATCGGTGAGGATCCTCCGATGCACATCACGGGCCGAGGTGCGTGCGTGCCCACCGTCTCCACGACGCTTGATCTCCTCCTCGATGTTTCGGTATTCCTGGACAAGCTGTTGCCCGGCGTCATCGATCTCCAGCTTTCGTGCTCTTAGCTGCTCCATCCTTACGTGAGATGGAGCCACCGTCTCCACCTTGATCCTGGCGTCGGGGTTGCCTATTGGGGTCGTTTCTTCTCCGGAGACGCTTTGGACGTGTCCCTCGGGGGTTTGCGTCATGAAGCATTCCCGAGAAGGGTGATGGCTCCCCTTGCTAGAGTCAGAGCTGGAGGACGACTCTAGCTCCTCCGCGAGGAGCCCGTAGAGTGTCTCCGGATCGTGTTCGACTACCCCCACGAACTCACTGTCCGTAGCCGGCTGAACCATGCATAGTGACAGAAGGTGGCCGGCGGTTGCCGCGGCATTACGGAGACCAAACGGAAACGCTGTCGGGGCGCTTCGTACGGGGCCTTCCGAAAACAGGGTGATGCTGCGCGGGGGCTCCCTGGATAACTGGGGTCCAAGGGAGTCGCCCCGTGGGCCCTCAAGCCTTAGACGGTTGAGGTTGATGGAAGGGAGAGGCTGTGCGGCCGTGTGGGTCAGCGCCAGTTCTCCTCCTAGTGTGACGATAAAATCTAGGTCGCCGAAACGCACATGTGTGCCCGGGGCCCAGCTGATTGCGTGTGTGGCCATCCTAGGCCTGGTTTGGAATGCGCAAGCCGACCTAGCGCGCCAACTGTCGGTGTTTCGTATAAGCACCGGCAAGTAAATTTATAGTAATGCGCGTTAGGCTCGGATGGTGCGCTAAAGGACACAAGATTTATACTGGTTCGGGCAGAATATCCCTACGTCCAGTTTGTTGCTGCTCGTGTTATTAGCACCGTGAATGGTTCGTAGTAGGGGATACAAACGATCGAGAGAGGGACATGTCTCAAGTCTCTGATGGAAGGGTCGAAAGGAAGCCAAGAGCCTGGTAGCAGCTTGACTATGTGTGTGTGTTGCGTTGTTTTTCGGTCCTCCTCTGCTGGAGGAAGCGCATCTCCTTTTATAGATGAAGGGGACGACTTTACAAGGATCAGGGCTTAGGATCCGTGCTCTACCTACCCTTGTGGCTCACTTCTACCCAGCCTCGTTACCCATTCTGATGGGTGCGAAAGGATGATAAGCGCCTACAATACTGTCGATGCTTCTGTAGAATGTCAGGATGGTTACAGAATAGTGCCCTGCGCAGGGTATGGGCTGGAGTACAGTGGTTTTGACTTATGAACCTCTCCCAGCCTTGCTCCGCACGCTTTCTGGCTCCTATGAGTCTCTGTCGGATGGACGCGGAGTCGAGGTCCGAAGTAGCGCTGTGGGCAAGGTCCTTTGATTTGGTGGACCCGAGGGGTCGGGAAGCGGGCGCCGCTCCCTTGGGTCCATAATGTGGTGACGGCATGTCCGTCATTCGTGGAGATCACAAATCCTTTTCTGGAGTGTAGTGGTTGTCATGTATCTTTATCGGGTTCCGTGTCCCAGAGCTGAAGGCGGCGCCTACAACTCTACAGGGCGAGGAGTACGCGCCTGCAATACCTTTTGGGCTCTGCGGCACCCGGGAGGGTCTAAAGCACCTGTCCAGTCGTTCCCTGGCAGTACCTTTCCTACCGGGGCGCAGGGTATGGTCCTTGAAGCCGTGGTTGACCCGAACGTCTTGTCTTGCTCTGTACCCATCATCATGAGGGAACGGGAGAGAAGTTATCAGGTAAGATAAAACCAGCCTTTGGACATCGAACGGGGCGAGGTTCGTCCTCGATCGTCGAGCGAGGCGGAGCCCAGTCCTTATCCCTTGGGCGTGACCGAGCCCACCCCTCGGGGGTCGGGCGAGGCGGAGTGTATCCCTCAGCCCTCGGGCGAGGCGGAGACTAGCCTTCAGCGGGGCTGGCCCAAAGGCGCTAACTTTCGTCATTCGGGCAAGGAACGCAGCGGCGCCTTTGTCCGTCCAGAAGTTTTTAATGTTCGATGGTTATTGGTTCCACCTTCTGGAGTACCCTGGTATTAGGTCTCCGACAGCTTTCATCGATCTCGAAAATATATTTATACAAGTGGAGGGGTGTTACGAAGGGACACGACTGTTCCCAAAAGACATGCCATTTGGAACTAAAATTAACTATCTAATCTTATCCACTAATCCTGTGCTTGATGGATGAGATCACTCGTGAAGAGACGCATGTTCGTTTGTAGACATCCGTTCGCGTATAAGTGTCGTTTCACAACAAGTTGGCTAAAGTAAAGCCAGCTAAAGTTTAGTGGTTGTTTAGATTCTTTAGCTAATTGGTGTTTATTTATCATGCTGCCCTTACTCTTTTTTTTGTTGAGCCCAGGGTTGACATAGAAAAACAGAGAGGCACTTTTGTCTTTAACCATGCTCCAGCATGCTCCAGCTGGGTTTAGCTGGGGTGGAACAGCTAAACGGATTGTGTACATTTTAGCTTCCAGGTGAGTTTTATCTTTTGACTGACATGGTTCATGCATGCAGCTCAATAGTTGGTATATGCATATCAAATGCTAGAAATTCATTCCGTTCATGCGAGAGTATATTTTTTTATATATACACAGGTGACAAGAACAATGAGCCATTCACTACAATGGGTCAATGGCATACATCAAAGTTTTCCTACTATTTTACTACTGCCACGCAACAGAAGGGCGTACCAGTGCAGAGAGCTCCCGCTCTGTGCGGGGTCTCGCCAACAAAATTATATAGAAAATTACATAGATTGTACAATGCCATCAGAAGTACTCTCCTTATGTGTTTCTTCACTGTCTACAGAGTATTCAGCCTGCCGGTAAAAACATCAACTTCCATGGTTTGCTAGCTATTACTTTCGTACTACACTCTGCCCAGATCTAGCCAGCCTTGAAATATGCCTCAAATATGGATGATTTAAGTACTTTGCAAACTCTATTGTCCATAAACCAAAGAAAATCAACTGCGCTGTAGAACCACTCATATGTACACCATCTGCGAAGCAATTCAGATGACAAACAGTGCAGCAATTTCCTTGCCTGAAAACAGTCAGATTTAGGGCTCCATGCAGAGGCTATATAGAAATCTGCAAAGTTGATAATATATAGCATATACTGTACCTGTAAATTATCTGAACTTTCATTGCATGACACATGATTCTTTTTCCTATGTATTTTGTGTTTCATTTTTTTTCTTCTTGTCATACTTATTTCAGGGTTGATTTCCCTTGGCACACTGGAGTATACTTGAGATGAAATATTATTTACAGTTGATTATAGTAAATCTCCTATTCCTCTTGCAGAGTCAGAATTCAGGGTATCCTCAGTGATATTAATAGAATGTGCTGCATTTTGTTCTTCAGCAGGCACCTGCAAGAAAGGAAAAGAACGCAAATGAGAATTATCATAAGAGTATCAAAAGAAACTAACACTGTTACAAAGGAGAACACATCAATGTTGACCAAAAGTTGTTTCTGTTGTCTAGGGCAGTTGACTAACAGTGTTACTATGTCAAGGGCAGTAGAGGCAGGTTCCTAGGCTATTTCTGTTGTATATAAGGACGTGAATGTAACACAAGGCTAACCCGAGCCATGGAACCGACATGTAATCGGGCCCTTTTGGTATCTTCAATACAATGGCATGCAACTCTCCTGCATGTTTGAGAAAAAAATGTTGACAAATAGTTAAGATGGCTTCAGACAATAAACACATCTAGATAGTGGGCACTGGACATAATAAATTGATCAAAGTAGATAACCAATCGGTAATAAATAAGCAGTGACTTCCCATGAACATCACCCGATATTTAATGAAATATTGGGATGCAATTGACACACTAAAGTTCAAAATGCAAAATAACAACATCAAATCGAAGAAAAACTTAGAGGTGGAAATGCTGAACATCAGCACATTCATGCTTAATTAAATTGGCACAAAAATACAGCTCACTATCCAAATTTTATTTTACCTCTGCATCTAATAACTCAGTGTGCTTTTTCTTATTGGCCTTATAAGCGCTGCACTCATCAACTGGCTTCCCATGTTTAGATACATCAACCAGAGAAATCCCTTCATCCTTCCTATCAGTATCAGATAATGTAGTCTCACTTCTAAGTGTACCTGGATCAGTACGTAAGAGAAATAGAAGCATAGGCAATGAGTATTATGAGTGGGATAGTATATAATGTGAAAAACGAAATGAAGTAAGAGCTGTAATGGAAGATAACCTGAAGGAAAATTAATCTTGACTTTTGACATCTTATCAGCTGCACTTACCAGACTCTGAAACACATTTAAGATCAACATATCATCTGAAACATAAAAAAATACAGTAGTCAAATATTTACACTGCTTGCTAATAGCAGTACCAAGACTATCAACGAGTACTAATATCAGGTAAAAGCAAAATAAACAAGTAGTTAAAGCCTTTCAACAATCATAGAGCTGGAATCCTATGGTGATGAAGAGCCACTGAGACAACTTGGTGCTAATTGTACTGTAAGTCAATCAAGTAGTAGAAGAAATGAACTTGATAACTGCTCAATATAGGAGGAAAATCTACATGATGGAGGAGTTCTAAGGTTGTTTTTTGTTGACTATCTAACTGCACTATAACAGCTTGGTGCTAGAATTCCATTCTCATTCAAGGGCAGGGTAGATTGCCCTTCTTTTGATTTCTACATATAATTGGGAAAGAGGATTTGAGTCTACCTTATCTTATAGATGGTTGCAGTAGCCACATAATTGGTTCATTGTGTATGGCAATGCCATATTAGAAAGGTTATTTGAACTCATGTAAGTCTGTTCGTGATTTTAGTACCTGAAAGAAACATTCTTTGCTGAAAAAAAAAGAAAATTTGATAATACTAACTAAGGGCATGCTCGTGATATGATCAGATGAAAGCTCCTAAAAGCATAGGGTGTAGTTCAGCTTGCTTGCATGACTAAAAAGCTTTTCCCTTAATGATCATGCCTTAGCTAAAGGTCTGATGGGACGTGTGCACAAGCTCAGGCTTTCCTAGTATGTCCTGATCACAGGAAGTGGTTAAGTAGATCTGGTAGGGTGAATTGTATATGATGACAACAGAGTATAAAGTACCACAAAAGAAAATACCTGAAGAAATGTACTCATCAAACATTTGTTCTGCTTTGAGTAATCCAACAGGTTTGTTCCCTTCTCTAACCTCCATTAAGGTTTCATGCCCAGCTGTACTGGTCTGACCCCTGTCCATAATTTGGTCCATTCCTTTTCTTTTCAAAGGTTGCTGATTCTGAAATATATCAGTATCTCCAGTTCCTTTAGTCAAGAAAGTCTGATATTCGACACCTTTAGTTGATTCCATGATTCTGGATCTTCCATCAAGGGAAAACTCATTAATCGAAAAATTAGCACAATCGTTACTAACCCTGTCATTATTCCTTTTTGTAGAGCAGATGGCGTTTTTAAGTTCTGATGTGGCATCATCAGTAGCGCTCCTGTCCGTAGGAGCTAAAACTGGTATCCGAGGGATACGATTCCCAACAGGATGACTTTGACTGTTCGTAACCAGTTCTGAAAAAACAATTAAGGCGTTAAAACCACTTAGGAAGCAGATTATCAAATGAAAATGCTTCTCAACTTTTTGTTCAACTACTATACTAAGCCATCCTTACCTGGCATTTTCCCTCAAGAGATAGCCCGAAAAATCAATAAGGAAAAAAAAAATGGCAACCATTTTTCATGCAATACTTGCCTCCATAGTATCTATTCTTGAAGGAAGGTGAAAACCCAGAAATTGTCCCTGCATGATAGGAGTCGCGAAGGTGAGGTGCTTCATGTGCTTTCTGCTGAGTAGCTTCTCCACATTTCTTTGCCTTCCCAGATGCTCTGTGTGTCTGTTTGTTTGCTCTATGACTTGGGGATAAATCCTACCATTTTAAGCATCACAATTAACACAATGTCAATTTTAAAGTCAATGTGATCCATATAGTTTAAACTTTCTGGTAAATATATTAACAAAAAAAGGGAAAAAAATAATGTGCTAAGGACTCAACAAGGAAGTTCATATAGTCTATGGCATCAGAGGAAACCAGTTTTAGGTGCATACATATCAAGATCACTAGTACCTCGGGTAAAAAAAGTGACCACATATTCCAATTGTATGACTGTACTAGGCCTAAACAGTACAGACTGTATTGCAATATCCCAACCTACTACAGATTGGATGTCACTTTTAGGGCTAGGAAAGGCATCATCATTGCATACTTATTTAATAGAACTAAACGAACCTGGTGAAACTAATAAGCAGCATTATAACTGAACTCAGAATAAAGGCCTGTTTGGTTGGACTGTGGCTTTTGAAAAAACAGCTGTGAGCTGTAGCTTTTACAAAAGCAGCTGTGAGATATGGCTATGGGAAAAGCCAAAAGCCCTTTGGTTGAGCAGCTGTGGCTTATGTACAAACTCCTACTACACTCTTTCACTTACAAGCGGGCCCCGACCGTCAGTCTCACAACTTATTCTTCCCCTCACGGGCCAACCGCAGGGGTCGGAGTCCGGGCCGTTGGCGCATCGGGGTCGGGGCTCTAGCCTAGCAGCGCATCGGGGTCGGGGCTGGGGGCGCAGCGGGGAACGTCGACCGAGGGGATGCCGGCGCATCGCGGACGCCATCGCATCGGAGCCGCGAGGATGCCGGGTTGGGGTGGAGGACACCGGCGGAGGGACGCGCGCCACCGGGGTCGCGCCCGCTTGAGGATGGGGTCGGAGGGATGAGCGACCTTCGTCGGGGCTCCTCGCCGGGCGTGGGACCTCGCCGCCACCGAGGAATGGGTGAGCAGCGGCCGGCAGGGGACCTCGCGCGGCCATTCATGGGGATTCTCGTGGTCGGACCTGGGACCTAGGGGCAGAGGCGGTGAGGGGCGGCGGAGCCCGCGCGGAGGGAGGCATGGCCGGTGAGGAACGCGCCGGCCTCCGGCGGGGCTGCAGCCGGCTCGGGCAGGTCCGGCGGAGTAGCGGCAGCCGGCGGGTCGCGGTTCTCTCGCGGTCGCGGATGCGGAAGGGGCGACGGGAGCGGACGCGAGGCAGAATAGAAAAGAGCGAAACGTTGTTTTCTTCCCTAACCAGTGGCAGTTTGGGTTTTTTTTTTTCCTCAAAAGCCCGTGAAAGCAGAGGTGGAGATGCTTTTGATTTGTACTACAGTAAAAACTGCTTTAGGTCAAAAATAGATGTGGCTTTTGGGCCTTTTGTTTGACCTTTTGGGTTTTGGGGGTAAAAGCCACAGTCAAAAGCTCAATCAAACAGGACCTGAGCAAAATAGTTGGTTCTCATCTTCGTTGATATAAACTCCACACGCTAGCTTCATATGTATCCATATTTACATGAACTTAGCATACCAGAAGTAAACAGTCATTACTAGAAGTACATCCTAACCTAAGCTTACCAAAACATTTCGATGACCAGTTACCAATGTAATAAATCCCGTGGCAGTAGCTTGATGTTTTGGAAGAGATAAGAAAGTCTGCCAAAAGAAATAAAACATGTCAACCTACAATGCATTGTAGTTTAGATCCAAATCATCAACACGCATTGAAATATGAACCTCCAGATTGGATCCAAGTTGCCTTTAGTTTTGACGAACACAGTAAATGGCGGTAGATGACAAAAGAACAATGATAAACACTTTACAACAAACTAGGATCCAATAACAACAGATTACAGTCCCTACAGACTCACCTGATGCATAGAGTAGAGGGCTTTTACCATGTCTGGTGTTTTATGACCTACCACTGCACTGATCTGCGTATTCAGATTCACCAAACAGCATTTAGAAAGTCCAAAAGACAGTTTTCCCATTATGCCTCGAGAGATGGATAACCCAAACCTTTTTCCAGTCTTCTCCATGTGTATGGTAGGCTTTATAGAACCACATAAGTTCAACCTCGGTCCATGTGGGACCTAAATCTGTGGTTTTCCTCTTCTACAAAATCGAAGCATTTTTATTTTTTTATGAATATAATATGGTACTACAGTTGACGGCCAACATGTACAACCTATCGATTGATAATCCTCATGAAACTTCCAAAATAAATGTACTTGCTTTTAGTTTATACCTTACTTGAACTATGTGCATCCTCATGCTTCTGTTTATCCTCATATCCTACTATTCTGATCTTCTTAATTTTTAGAGAAACGTTTTCTGAACCCATGGAAACTGCCCTTGATTATAGGCCCAAGAAGTATTGCTGCAAGGGGCAAATACCGGTTCAGTGTATAAAACAGAGTACCAGTATCAAAAAAATATGAATTATATAAGTAGTATAATTCCCTCCGAAATTCAGAAATTTCACATGCTTGATTTAATCTAAGTTAAGATGCAGTGAAAATGGTAAAATGTTTTTTAATAAAAAGAAAAGAAAGAAAGTTGAAACTCTTTTCAAGAGTCGTTTGCACTGCAGTCATATTTGATAGTTTTTCGACAATAGTCATCTTGATTTCATACTCTGCGCAGATGTAGTGTTCAGGAGCACTGTAGCATCCACACGGCCCAAAGAAACACGGACTGATCTGGTATACACCCTTGAGACCCGATCATCCATGGCAATGGAAAACCAAATTAAGAAGTGAACACCTCCGCCCTTTATTTTTTAACACCTCCGCCCTTTATTTTTTAAGCAAATAAGAGAGGAGCGATCCAGAGCATAAATCCATACATAACATGATTCACTCGCATCTCCCGTGCCGTGATCACCATTTAATAACTACACTGATCTCTCATGGATAGGCAGTCGCAGGCGCAGCATCCTACTGCATTGCTTGGCCTGCCAGCCTCCATGCCATAACAAGAAGAGAGCAAGGGAATCGGGATTTTTACCTTCCCTATTAGCCGGATGGTCGAATTGGAGTTGGGGCCGTTGGCGGCGGCTTTCTCCCGGAATGGCGGAACCTACGACAGAATCACGGAACGGTGGCCTGGAGGCTCGGTGGAGTCGGCCGCAGCACTGACACCAGCGAGAGGGTTGATGGCCTGATGAGAAGTGATCAACCGGGCTCGGCGGCGCTAGGCAGGATTGTAGGAAGGGAGAGATTGCCGCTGCGTGCTGGCGGAAGGAGGCGTGGCGTGGGGTTTAGGAGAGAAGGAGGCAGAGGGCCGAGCCGCTTATTTACGGTCTGGCGAACCAAAATTGCGGTGGTAAAATAAAAAAGTCCAATGTCCCTCGACTTTTGTCAAAATATGTTTTTTCTCTCTAAATTCTAAAACTAGGTAAACCACCTTCCTGAACTTTTAAAACCGTTCGCTTTAACTCCCTGACGGGTTATAAGCGGTTTTCAAAAACGGTTTTGTCTTTTTCTTTTTTATTTATTTTGATTGAAACTTTGAAAAATCATAGTAAATCATAGAAAAATCATAAAATAGAAAATCTAATTTTATTAGACTCCACATGAGAAGATATATACAGTAAATATATAATATGATATGCTTTAGTATAAATTTTTTATTGTAATTTTAGATCTACGTTTTTCTATAATTAATTCATAGCTGCAGTTTTTATGGTTCAATTATGGTGAAAATTTTATTATGGGATAATTATTGTATATTTGAACTGTAGTAAAAATTTTCATACTCATTGGATCATTTATAACTTAATTATTGATTTATTTAGTTGTATGCTTGTTAAAAAGTATTTATAAATTTATAACTAAGTTATATAAATCTATAACTAAATCATGCATGATCCAGTGAGTATAAAATTTTTATCACAGTTAAAGCATACAATAATAGTCCACCGTAAAAATTTTACCACAATTAGACCATAGAAACTGCAGCTATGAATTAATTAAAAAAACATAGATCTAAAGCTATGGCAACAAAATTATACTAAAGCATACCATATTATATGTTCGTTGTGTAGATCTACTCATGTGGAGTCCAATAAAATTAGATTTTCTATTTTATAATTTTTCTATAATTTACTATGATTTTTTAAAGATTCATCCGAAATAAATAAAAAGAAAAAGACAAAACCGTCTTTGAAAACCGTTTATAACTGGTCAGGGGAGTAAAACGAACAATTTTAAAAGTTTAGGGAGGTATTTTACTTGGTTTTAGAGTTTAGGGAGGAAAAGTAGACTTTCGTAAAATTTGAGGAGCTAATGTGGACTTTTTTCTGGGTAAAATAACTACTCCAAAAGATGTAATCCGGGGAGGCGGCCCGCGGCCTGTTTGACCATGGTCCTCGTGGGTACATCTGAGCAGAACAGAAACGGCCCAGTCCACGGGCTCAATCTGCTGCACTGAGTGGACATGGCCTAGGCAAGTACGCATAGATGATAGATCTCGTTGTCTAGGTAAAAAAAATATCTCAGCTCGAGTCCGATCTAAAATATTTATTTTATTATTTATTTTACGCTGTAAAATACAGACCCAAACCCGGTAAAAAAAATTAGGACCAGCTCGTCTATTGGGATGGTCGTGTAGGATTTTCTGGGCCTGAAGCAACCAGACTTTTTAGTTCGGTACAAGCCTAACCCAGCCCGCAAAATACTTAGTTATACTCATAGACTATATATTGTTGGCTGGATCTTTTCGGCCCGGTCTCACATCCCTAACTTGTTATAGTTTGTTTTGAAAAAAAACAAAAAAAACTATTTTACCTCCCTTAACCATGGTCGTGTCTACTTTTATTTTTTTTCATCAAACTTCAAAGCCAGGTGAAAGCATCTAGGCCCATATTGGGGTTTCAGTGATTAATGACAATACGAAATTACTGTGACTAACATGTGTTTTTCAGATGCAATTAAGTTAGGTCATGGTAATGACAATTGATTGGGCAATCATGTTTGGCATGCCCCTACGATAGAAATCGTTTCGGTTTGACGACAAGGTTAAGGATGGACTAGTTCTAAGTGTCGTTTGGTGTTAAAGAGACACTTAGAGTAGTTTAAGACTTTGTTTTTTCTTTGGCCGTACTATTAAAGGGGGTATGTACGGGTAGTTTGACCTAGGTGAGTCTAGTGGATTAGGTGTAGTGCACACTTATCAAATCTAGCACTAGATAGCTCCTAAGTAGCCCTTAGATCAATTGGAGCGAACTTCATTCACATATGATTTCGAGTTGGAAGTGAATGAAGGGTCAAATGTTGACCGGACGCTGGTTTCAGTGTGACCGGACGCTGGCGCAGAGTCCGGTCAGTTTATTTGATCAAGGTGAAGTCGTATGGATGCGACCAGACGCTGAGTGAAATGTGACCGGATGTTGGATGACAGAGTCCGGTCAACTCCAGTAAGGTCCTAGAGAGGGAGAATCCTGATCGGACGCGTCCGCTCAGTACTGACTGGACGCTGGTGAGGTTTCGGCTACTGACCGGACGCTGAGCAGCAAAGTGACCGGACGCTGGGTGCCAAAGTTCGGTCAACATCAGTAAGGTTCCAGAGAGCAGTTTTCGTGACCGGACGTGTCCGGTCAGTGCTGACCGGACGCTGGTCAGTATCCGGTCATAACTTAACTGCTCGGTTGCGGGGAGAACTGACCGGAGCATCCGATCACCCCGCAGTGGCACATAACGGTTTGTTTTGAATGAGGGGTTATAAATACTTCCTCTATTCACTCAAGGGATCACTTTTGCTCATTTCAACAGCTGAGAAACACCCTTGAGAGTGCCAAGGAGAGCAAGGTCCTAGTGAGGTGATTGAGATTTGAGAATCCAAGAGAGAGGCCTCATTAGTGAAAGCAAGAGTAACAAAGTATGCATCCATCATTCTCATTAAGCTTGTCGTGGTCGAGTGAGAGTTCATGCTTATTACTGTTGGTGATCGCTATCACCTAGACGGCTTGGTGGTGATTGGGAGTTTGGTGATCATCCGACGGAGCTTGTGGATGACCCAACTCAAGTTGTGAGTGGTTGTGGGTGATTCACCGCGACGAAGTGTCGAATAATCAACCCGTAGAGAGCACTTGATCCTTACGTAGATCAAGGGGGAGCTATACCCTTGCGCGGGTGCTCCAACGAGGACTAGTGGGGAGTGGCAACTCTCTGATACCTCGGCAAAACATCGCCTCGTTCCTCCTTCTCTCTTTACTTTAAGCATTTATTTTCAGCAATTCAATTCTTGTCTTCACATTCTTAGAATTGCCATGCTAGAGTAGGATTGGAACTTAGGTTGCAAAACTTTTGTGCTGTAGAACATTACAAACACTTCTAGGCACAAGGGGTGAAGTGGGCTAAGTGTAGGGTTTAATTTTTGCAAAGAATTTTAGAATTAGCTCAATTCACCCCCCTCTTGGGCATCTTGATCCTTTCAATTGGTATCAGAGCCTCATGCTCACGTATTTAGGCTTAACCGCCTAGAGAAAGATGTCTCACGGGGATGGTCCTCCTATCTTTGAGGGAGATGATTTTCCTTAGTGGAAAATCTGCATGGAGGCATATTTAGAAGTTCTAGATGTTGGAATACTTAGAGCTGCCTCACAAGGATTCCCAAAACCTCGGTATCCCATGCACCTTCAAGGCGATGAAGTGAACTACGAAAAATGGAATACAAAGGCTAGAAACACCATCTTTAGAGGCCTCTGCAAAGATGTGTTTAACCGGATGAGGAACCACAAGGACATCCATGCACTATGGTCGGACATTTGTGCGCTCCATGAGGGAACTAAGAGCGAGCGTGAGGAATGCTATCATCTCGTAATGGAAAAGCTTAATTCTTTTGAGTTGTTTTCTAAACAGAGTGCTAATGAAATATACTCACGCTTGAATATTCTTGTAGAGGAAGTCAATGGGCTTAGACTCACTCAAATACAACCATCTGATGTTGTAAGAAAAATCTTTAGTGTCCTCCCCATTGATAAATATGGGCATATTGTGGCCGTGCTTCATCAAGGTGATCTTTCCACCACTACACCGACTCAAATCTTGGGAAAGATCAATGCTCATGAGATGTACATGCATATCACACCACAAGATAGCTCATCCTCTACCAAGAAAAAAGACAAAGACTTAGCATTCAAGGCTAGCCAAGAGAAGGGCAAAGCAAGAATTGAGTATGAGAGCTCAAGTGATGATGAAGTTGATGATGAAAGTCTTGCTCTCATGGTGACAAAAACCGCCAAGATGCTAAAGAAGCTCAACAAAAATAGTGTCAAGTTTGATGGCAAAAAAAAGTTCTTCACTAGCATAAGAAGAAAGCCAATCTCTGAGATGGATTGCT